GCAGTGAACCAGTGGCGGATGTTGGCGATAACACTCATAGGAAACCACCTGGTATCGGAACTTTTGTCTCACCAACACGCTATGGTAGCTCCGGCAGTCAACCAGGCCAACAGTTTCGTCCAATTAGCGGTTCTTTCATACCTCCAGGTTTTCCAAAAAATGGATGGTGTGGTATGTTTCTATATCCTCATTTTTTAGTTCACTTTTTAATTTTAGAATCTATCCACTTTATATTTAAATTTTTCTTCACCAGACTTCCTTAAACCATTCAACAGTTTCGAAATTCTTGAATCTTGAAATTCCTTGTTTCAAAATAGATTATGAAATACACATCTTCAAACTAGTTAAATGTAAACCCTTGGTTGACGAAATCGGAAGATTTGATAAAGTCGTTATCTTTCTTAGAATTAATTTTGAGGGATTTCACTGTACTGATTTAAAGACCCGGAAATTTCAGTGTGCAGTTTGGAAAATACTTGTCTACCGGGTCCGCCGGGGCCGAAAGGTGAAAAAGGTGTTGATGGCGAAAATGGAATCCCTGGTAAAGATGGTATGGATGGTGTTGATGCAGGAGATATTCAGCAAGAAGGTCCATCTGGATGTTTCAATTGTCCGGAAGGTCCACCCGGTCCTCCAGGACCTCCTGGTCGACCGGGCATTCGTGGCCAACGTGGACCGAAAGGTGCACCAGGTTTTCCGGGGCGTGATGGAAATCCAGGGCCACCAGGTGATATTGGTCCACCAGGACCACCAGGTAGTTTTTCTTCATATTTCAAATTTTTGTAAATTTTTGATATGTTGATTTCCAAAATAATATTCGTTTGGTTTTATAGGAGCGGATGGTAAGTCTGGAGAGCCAGGAGAAAAAGGTGCTGATGCCGAAAAAGTTGTTGGACGAAAAGGCAATCGTGGCCCACCTGGTGACCAGGGCCCTGAAGGACCACCTGGAGACAAGGGTAAAGATGCGCCACCAGGAGAACCAGGTCCCGAAGGGCCTTCAGGACAACCGGGCTTCCAGGGGCCACAGGGAAGTGACGGTGAAGAAGGTCCAGAAGGTCCACCTGGGAACCCTGGCAAAGATGCTGAGGTTAGTTTAATGGATTTTAAAGCGAAAATCGAGATAAATTCCATTGGTTCCATTAAAATTTATTTAATTTTAATTTTGAATTTCTTTCAATCACTGAATCTATTGCAATTCAGCTTATGCGATTATATTTTTCCATGAATTAAATTTTGTAGTCTATGAGATTTGAGATTTTAGTACTGTCCATGTCCGGCACGTGAACATACTGCTGCTCATCGGGTACGTCTTGGTTCCGGAAGAAATGATGATAGCGAAAGCAAAGCAGAAGATGTACAGTCTAAGAGTGATGAAGAAAGTGGACGGTTCGGAAAAACCGATTTCGAAAATCCCGAAGATAGCAGTAAAGGATATAAATCACGACGTACGCTACTTTGAAATTGATGTAGTGATATCGTATTCATTGAGTATTGTATGCTATATTCTGAAAAAGATTGTATTCTTTAATCATCTTCTTCATACATTCATGAAAGCTCACTTCATGAATTATTCTAATGATATGCCGAATATAAGTTTCAAGATCGTTTAATCGATTGAGGGCGGAGAATATTCCCCACAAATATCAGAAAAGCGGCAACAGTGCGTTCATTAAACTCAAGAAAATAAACAGGTCGATCGATATATCCGTCTTTTTGCAACGATGCAGTATGTCTCAATGGACTTCAGAATAGCTCGTTCCTTTTTTTTTAACGAATTACAGTCAAAGTTTGTTTTACCCTCAGCGCAAAGAAGAATTCCTTATTTTAATGCGAAAAAAGTAGACGGACATCCGGAAACTCAGTAATTTATTATCAACTTCTGAACAGCGAGTCATCGATCTTTTTCTTCTGTTTTCTTAGCGGACAACTTATCTCGAAATAATCTACAATATCGGTGTTTTCTTCCATAAAAAGATTCTTCTGCGTTTGTCTATTCTCACTATTTAGGATACAGTTCTGCTCCAGTTCCTGAAAATAGTTTAATAAATCTCATCTGAGAATCCCGCTTTACTTCATTTAACTTATATCATAATATACTTACACTGTTAATGGACAGGTAACAAACATAAGTGAACAGTGTAGACGTGAGCAACTCATAGTACCAATGTTTTCAAGTTCGCTTGAGAAATAGTCACGCTTTACCTTATAAAAATATACGGCACTGGTACAATTCATTGCAAATAATTGTCGTGATTTCAAGCAGTTCTCGAAGCATCCCACAAATGATCGTGCTGTAACTACTGTTTCTGCAAATCCAACCAGTATCATTTGTGGGAATCTATTTATGCTTTGACATTCACTGCTGAAACATATATGAATTTAAAAAGTAGTCAGAATTCTTGGGCGTATCAAAAAGACAATGTAATAAGACGAAACTAATGAGAATTATCACCTCATTAAATCATCCTCTACACAAATTTTCTCGTAATAGTTAGCATAAGAATTCTGCTTGAGTTGTCTAGTATCTCTTGGCAACACCGTTTCGCCAAACAAACTACAACCATCCTCGTTATAATCGAAAGAACGACATCCGAAAATACGTCCTTTATCGTCCTACAAATTTCAGTTTAATTCGTGGTGACGAAAAAATGCAATGGTCCTTCTCAGAATGAACTTTTGTGATAGAAACATTAATACTTATGATTTTTTTTGCCTAAGCAAAACTTTTTTCGCGAATTCCTTGAATATTTTTGAATCTAAGTAATTTGATGGTTGATTTTACCAAGAAGTTTACTTCCATTTTTTACATAACAGTTTGAGCTTCGCTTAACACACTCGTTTAATTGAAGGAATTCTTTTTATTCTTATATAGTGAAATTGAAAGTTGAAATGAACGAACGATATTGTTGGTGCATGCATCCATGCATGCATTTAAATCATAAGCCTTCAGATCTATCCGATTGGCACTGTCAAACTTAAATCCTTGAGTATGCAGGTACTTAACAGCCTTTCCTTCTTCACAGGTTTCCTGATTCGTATCTTCCTTTGTTAAAACATTTAACAGCAACGTATTGCTTAGCTTTCTGTCTAGAAATTTGAATTTAAAATTAACGATGATAAAATCACTTCCAGTTAATTGACCACTGTAAAGTCCTTGTGAAGATTATCTATGAATAAGGACAAGCCTGTAGAATCAAATGTTGTTTTCTTCGATTTCTTTGCATATTCCAAATCACATCCATGAGCGAAAGTTGGTTCCAAATATGAATGTTCGTAGTATTTGAGCATCCTACAAAAAAAAGCAACTGCTGTATAAAGTTTATTTTTAAGACCTGAGAAATATTAAGGTATGTATTAATTTAAAATTTACTCTAGCTTAGGCCAAAATCTACAAATTATTCCATCGCAAAGAATATCTAGAGGAAAACTTACCTTGCCGGTGGTTGATCACCTTGATGAGCAAAAAAATCGCAAATCTGAAAGCAAATTGAATTCAGAAACTTCAAATTCCTTGCAACATACAGATTTCTTCTGGATTGTTGTTTCCAGTTCAACTGAGAGAAATATTGCATTTCGCAATTCTCTCAACCCACGATGGTGTAATCAATATTGGAAAAGGTTATTTATGCTTCGAACTTATGATCCTAAATATCCAAGTACCGGATGCAGACTCTTCAAAATTTCAAAAAGAATTTTCTCTGAAAATTTGAAAAGATACCTTGTTGGCAACATCATACACCAATGAGCGACAACTGTAGATGCCACTTTGTGATTGCATGCATCGTTGCTTGCATTTTTCCAGTTGCATGTTGGATCGCCGTTCGTATGGTTGCGCATTAACAACGATAAATTCGTTGTAGACTCGAAAGCATACATCACCTGGAAGGATTATCAGGCATTCACATATATGACACACAAAATTGAAATAAAAATGAAACATTTTTAACAGTTGAAGTTTCGAATAGTTACGTACTCAGATCCGGTGCACCAATGACCAGGTTACGTTGTTGACTGACCGATACAACGCTGTCAGTAGTGGAGAGCTGGAACTTTGTTATAACATTATACAGTTTCGATTCACACTTTGGTCTTTTGATCATTTATTATTGGAGATTATTATTAAACAAGTTTGTGTCTTTTACTTCAACTTAAACTTACTCCTTTATCCTGACTTGAGTATCCTTGATCTGTCTGTTTGGCTTCTTCAGCTTCCTTTGATATAATTCCCGTACTGATTTCAAATTCTGTCTTACGCCTTTTTCCCGTACTGCATGTTTCACTTTTTTTTTTAAGAGAATGGAACTTTAAACTTTTTGAAATTTGAAAATCTTTAAGTTTATGAACATCACCTAATTTTACGACTATTTAATTTTTCATTAAATTAAATTCTTATATCCCTTCCATAATTAAGCGTTTTTTATTAACTCCATCTTTCCCCTATAAACGATGGTATAAGAAATATAAAAATGAAGATGTGCGTTAATGAATAAATGAAGTTTAAAGCTTAAAATTTCAAATGAGACCCGTACTTATTCTGATCCATGGAATGTGTACCTTCGTATTCAAGTTTCACACCTAGGCATTTTCTTACCGATATGAGCGCAAGGAAGCAGAAGCATAGCCATGTCCTCATCTAAATATGCGAAAGTGAGATATTATTGTAGAAATCCAACACTCCCAAATGCAAGCAGATATTCAGAAGCAATCATTTAAAGGAGAAAATTCTTGGCAGTAAGGAAGAATTTTCAAATGAAACGAATTTCATTTGAAAAATTAATCAGACAGTCCATCAATCCGCCCGGATGTGAAACTGCATGAAAGACTTTTCGGCCAAAGGATATTAAAAAGGCGGAGAAAACATTTCTTTTTATCTCTGATTTATTTAAGTATGTTGAATTTCAGAGGCTGTCATGGCATGCATCAGGTTCGATCAATGAATGACAATAGCGAGAACATTGACAATTGACCTGAATTACAGATTCGCGGCATCGTCATTGCATCATATATTATCTTCGAAAGCGTTAGTGAAAATAGTGATTTAGGTGGAAGAGATAGGTGGATCACTTTTTTTGTCCACATATGTTATTCTTACAGTGCCATATCAAAATTCTTCGGGGAACTTTGTGGTGCTTGATATATTCGATCAAATCCAAAAAACAAGCCCAGCAACCACACTTTGGACTGTATTGCTCCACAGATCACAGATCCTTAGTACTACAAAAAGAAATATATAAGGCAAAATATCAAGTGTACGAATCAGAACGATAATTATTGGTGGTAAACGGTAAGGGTAGTCACCCTCACTAGAGAGATAAAGAAATTAAGGTAGACAATAGTAAATCACCATAAAGTAAGGTAACACGCAATATGGACAAAACTTTTAAATAACTCCCTGTCCACTTCATCTTTCTTTACACTGAACTGTCAATCTTTTTGACTGTACATTGACTATACTATCTCATTCACACCACATGCTTACTATAAATTCCAGGTGAAATCTTTTACAGCATACATTGTCCACTTCATTCATTTTTTGTGATATGCAATTTGTGTCATTTTTATATGATTTGTCGCCAAATTCTCTGTAAAACGGGACAAGGTTTTTACCAATAACGTTTCAAAATACACATGGATTACTTACAGTTATAAAAAGAAACAAAAGACAAACAACGATTTATTTTGTGTACAATACATTCGCCCATCTCTCTTAAGACCCGTATAACATATTTTCTCGCATAATCTGGAAGGATTCAAAATGCAAAAGACGTGTAGAGCAAATGAAATGCTGAAAAAAAAAATTATGCAAAAAAAATATCCATTTTCAGACCCCAAATAATGAGTACGTTACAGTATTTCATTTTTAATTACAAAATTTCCGAGATATTTTGTAGAGAGATGTCCACAAGGGAACAAAATGCAACTGGATCTTTAGAAAGGAGGCGCAATACCTAGGATCGAACATAAATTTCTGTTGAGTACTAAAATATCAATTTCAAAATGAATGGAGTAAAATAAAAGTTTTAGAATTTCTTACTCAAGTAATCAAGTTATTTCAAAGAAAAAAAAAGTGCCAAATGTAGCTATGTTTCTCAAACTGAACAATGCCACTATACCACAATATCGTATCATATTCATAATTTGGGCAAAACAGAAAACCTGATCGGCTGACCAGCAAATGAACACATACAACAATCACAAAGATGCTTAAAATATATATAAATGTACAACGAAATTTAAACATCAATAAAAAATCGACAAGAAATCATCGAGACATCGAAAAGCTGAGAATTCACACATAAAAGCATGTAAGTACTCGAAGAATTTTTACATTAATTTAAACTTGCCTGAAAACCAACATGTCTTCTCAGCTTTGCAGAAAAAATCAACTGTATCACTATCTTCACTGTCTTAATCTTATTTCCATTCGTTCGCCCGTTTCTACCAAAATACTTCCATAAAAACAAAGAAATAGAAAACCCAACAAAGAAAACAGTGAAAATTCATTGGTAAATAATACAGAAAAAAACGAAAAGTAAAAACAAGGTTAGCTTCTCATTCCAATCCATTACAGATCATATTGTCCTAAACGCAAGTACAGTCGTATTGTACCATTTGTAAATATATAATAATAAATACTGGCAAGAAAAACTTTATTTTAACGTGACTTATTTCTAGCATATAATAATTAGACAAAATTCAAAACTCGTTCCAAATGAAACTTAGGACAATATTTAGCAAGAAAATGAAATTAGCCAAGTCGTGGTCTTTTAACTGACATTGCTTCGTTATAGTGATTTGAGTTACTCATATTGGCAATAGAACTTGATAATATATTGCCAACACTATCAGTGGATAACATGTGTCTTGCAACCGTTGCTGCCAAATATGGACACTCATTTTCCAGTGTGACCCAGTCCTACAGAAAATGTCTTGTAAACATAAACGAAGTACGCAACACAATTTTATGTCTCGAAGTGATTTGTAATAGAAAATTGTAAAATAAACGGAGAATATATATGTGATCTGTAATAGAAAATTGTAAAATAAACAGAGAATACATATGAGCAGTTAACAGCATTCTTAAAAATAGGAATTGGATAAATAAACAGCAGGAAGCAAGCTTACGGGAACCTGTTAAAAGTTGTTAAATTATCTGAAGCCCAACTATGTGGTCCAGAGTGATACGAATTTCCTCCTCCTTTCTTCAAAAACAAGAAAACACAATGAAAATGCGATGTACCTCATTATCGACAATATAGTTGCGATGTTTCTGCAATAAATTCAGAATTTTCCACTTCAAGACGGACGCATTATACATGTCAGCAGCTCGAAGACGTTCACAAAAATTGTTAGGTGACAGGTCTCTTATCAGGGCTTCCTGGCACAAACTCTTCAAACGGTCCAAGCAAAATCTTAAAAAAAAAACTATTTGATTTATTGTATCATAAAACTATGATAAAAGTGAAGGAAAAAAGTTACCGGTCTGCAGCGGCCAAGATTTCTAACGTTCGTTTTGATGATTCCGAACAATTATCCTTGTAAATATATTCCAGGACACATGCCATCGTTTCTGGGGTTACATCTTCCAAATTTACCTAAATAATTCATTCCTTTAAACAAGCAAAAATGTTGCTAAGGAAATGATTAATGTGACCAAAGCAAAATAAACTAACCTCTCCACTTAAACTTTCTTGATTACTCTGGTCCCTGAACATTGCCTGGAAGAAAGGTGATCGTGCTGAAAGGATTGCTTTGTGACATTTAAAGGAACGTCGACCTACGTGAAGCGTAAAATCTGAAAAATCGCCACTATCCAGTAACTGCCCCAAATCGCGTCCTAAAATCATCGAACAACGAAAACTTATGACAATTGAAGGTTTTTTAAGCACCAAGATTTACTGATCCACTAATCATAAATTATAAGAAAATTTGCAAATTCCGAGGGTCGCAAGGTGGTAATAATAGCATAAAGTGAAAAGCCTTCAAGTAATTTTGGTTTGGAAAGAATTGTCTGAGTGAGTCAGGCAGTAGCAATCCAACATTAAAATGGAAAATTTTGCTCGATAAGGATAAGATGAATTAAAATAACCTACCCATAAAATGTGGCTCAGGGCGTGTCCTAACTTCATCACCAATGCCCAAAGCAATTCCAGGTGTCGAAGAATTACTATTTCCACAAAACACATCAAGATCAGGTTCAATATCAGTACAGCTATAGTCTCCGTATACAGTTAACTCCACACCAACAGTTAAAACATCATCCGGCAAAAACTTAGTGACACGGCTCTGTAAAAATGCAAAGTAGAGAGCTTTTATCAAAATTCAAAATAAGAATAATGAAAAATCATCGGAACAACCAAAGACCACTTTGCATTTTGCTAGTTACCCATTACAACTAGGTTTCTAATCCAAGTGACATCGACTTAAACGTATGACTGTCAAGAAATTATCTAAACGTTATAATGAAAAGTAATTAAGTTATGCTTTGCCAAGCTTCATAAGGAAACCTTTAAAGTCTCAGTGGAAAAGAATTTTGACGCAGTAACAATCCCACCACGGTTGATAGTGACAACATTTTTGTTTAAGGCACACCCTCGTGGACCATCCGCAGCTTCAATGTAGAAATTCACTCGAAAACGCAGTTTTGCAGATGGGCATTCTGAAGTATAGTCGTTAATATTTTTGAAAATTACCTTAAACACAACAGCAGTGTAATCGAAAATTTCAGCGTTGATCATTACTACCCGAAAATGAGTAAATTTTTTTTAGAAATTCCTTGAAAATATAACTTGCGATTAATTTACCTGCCTGAGTACCCCTAACACTTAACCTAAATTACCAATACGATTTATATACTTACTGAAAATTTGAAGAAATAAGGAAAGATATCCTCGACATTCTTCATCTTTACCGCAAGGAAACAGTTTCAGTCGGAATCGATAATCATTGTCGATAGAACCAAACATGCTGAAGAATTCGTTTACTGAATGCATTATGTTTGTTGCCAAAAACTTGAAGTTTTGCTCATTTTGACACGCTCAGTTCTGAATTGAACGTATACATTCCAAAAAGTTTTCAAAAAACATGTTGACTAAAAACAGAAAATCAAAGAAAAATTGGAATAGGTTAAAAGGGTATCAATAAAAATAGAAATTGGAATAGAAATAGAAATGGGCTAACGAACAATCTATCAACTTCATCAACTATCAATTTAATTATCAATCAACATATCAGTGCGCATAAACGTAAAGTATGATGATGTGAAACTTCATAAGTCAATAGTTTTGCCAATAATTCTATGGTAATTTTTGCAATTTTCAAACAAATTTAAAAATTTAACTTACATATGCGCATCGAACGCACTGGGACAAGAATTCTTCTAAACGATATCGAGTGAAAGTTGCATAGAAATGCAGAAATTAGTGTTGCAACAACAGTAGTTATTTACCTATACAAAGTCTTGTGACACAGCTTTGATTACATTGCAATACTCTTAATTAATACTAACTTTGACTCAATGAAATCACCCGGTGATGACAATTCCTGCTGCGCCGAAAATTGTGCAACGCTCCATTTATGCATGAAAACGATGGTATCCATTTTTGTAGCACAAGCTGATATGTAGACAGCACCATCCAGATGTCGACATAAGCCACTATTACTACCTGATCCAGAAGTTCCCGAACTTAGCTGGGAATTTTCCGCAGCACCGGCACGTTGTTGCGATAATTCTCTGCTGTACTCTGCCAACATCTGCAACAATATTTTTTAGAAACATCGCAATTATTCAAATATTATGCGCCTGCATTTATATAGGTTTCATATGACATTTTGTTTTTTCCTCTGCACTACAAGTGAGCTAACAAAAATATGTGAAAAGAACTGCTTCAGTGATATTGATATTTTATCTGTTCACCTAAATAGTCCTCATCTTTCCCATCTCTTTGCTGTAATAACACCAACAATAATTTAGGTAAAACGATTCACAAATTCATTTAAAAAGAAATTTATTCAGATTCAATCTCATTATAACAAACATGATAACATCGGAGATAACAAAAATAATTTCTTTGGGCTTTCCATCAAATAGGGCATAAATCCCGCTTCTGGTCAAAAACCTTACGGTGGAAATACTTCCAGAAAAGTCATAGCAATATCAGATTTGCGAATAAAAAACAGAGGATCTGCTAATAATTACAAATATAGTAATCATCTGCAGGAATACGACGACAAATTCAATGTATTTAAGTTTGCAAAGTTCTTGCTAAACGATAGTCAGCCAAGAAAAAAGTTTTAAGAAACCCCATTCAAGAATAAGTAAGTGCTTTCCGGATACCTGTCAACTGCCACTCCTCCGAAACTCCTAAATAAATTGTTTTTTGGAAAAATTTCATCTCCTACAGACTAGTAACATACAAGTCATAATTATTCATTTGCAGTTATCTCAGTAGTCTAGAATATATCCTAAAGTTTGACTTCAGTTTTGTTGCCAAAAAAGACTGAATGATAAGTTCAGAAAACTTTGTAGTTAAAGATATATATAGTCACTGTTTCCTAAAATCAAGACTTCATTTGCACTTTGCTAACCGAATACCATCCGAAATAATATCGCTGTACACAAAAAGTATTGTGGAGGTTGACTGCGGAAAAAACCTCAAAAGTAAAAGAAGGAACTAAAGTAACGCTTGAAAATGTGCTCGCAGAAATTTAACAGTCAATCCAATTGGAAAATTAAGAAAATTGCACATGATGCAAACCGAGAAAGATCCCAATGTTGTCTTAGAAAAATCTTTGAAGTTCCAAAAGAATAACAAGCTGACAAACATATAAAAATCGATATCACAAAGATGTCAATTAAGCAATCAATGTGATGGATCATTTCAAAGTCGTTATCCTCTTACAATAGCTTGCCCATTAACTTATGCGATGCATCATCAAATATATGGGAAAAAAAACTGATTTGAAAAGTCAAAGCTACCTTTACAATGAAATGAATGTTGAAATTTAAGAGAAATGCTAAGAAGAATGAAACAGCTATAAACTTGAAAAAGGAAAGGGTTATTGCACCAAGTGAAAAAGCGCTTACTTGTTCGAATATCAAATTCCTGAAAAGCACAATAAAAAACCAACCTCAGTGGAAAAAACACGATATTTCAAAAACAATTATGGCAAAGATTAGACCCGTCCATACTGGTTCAGTATTTTTTTTTCATAATCCTGGCTTACATTGTACCTTATTGAAATATCAACAAATTTCAGTGGAATTAGAGAAGTTACAGAAGATGACCACAGATTTTGATCCTTTAAACTGGATGTGTGTATAAATCTTTAGAAACGAGCAGAGCTGAAAAAGAGCTGAAGAAATAATGCTGACAGAACAAGAACAGCATGTATCAGGAATGAAAAAGAGCAAGAAAAAACAACAGATGTCAGATTTTACTTGAATTTATAAAAATTTGCAATTTAGGCAGTGCTCTCATTTTTCTTGAAATGTCTCCGGGTACTTCTCTTTCCTATATCGTATGTTCGTCTAACGAAACTGAAGTCATTTTGGCAAAATTAAACAACTAGACAAATTTAAAAACTTTTTTTTAACGACTTTGATTTGGAAGCGTCGATTAAAGTCATTTTTTTACTCTCTCTTTTCCCAAAGTAGTTTTAAATCTCAATCTTCATCAACTCTGAAGGGAAGTTAAGGAAAAGTAGTTGTTTCGGCCTGATCGGTCGACGAAAGACAAAAGGATAAGTTCTGATATGTTCAAATGGAATGCGAGAACAATACTTCCAATTTCGAAAGTTTTCCTTCAATCACGACGAAAGTACAAAGAAAGGTGAAATTTGGTGGAGTGACACCACTAATATATCTTTGATATTTTACTGATTTGATAGGGCTGTCTGTCACACAGATGTACACATGTGGTATTTCTGAAATATTCCCAGGAATTAATAAACCCCGACCTAAAGCAGCACTTCCTACATCTAATCGTTGGAATGGCCGAGCCTGGAAATACAACAGCTGAGGCACGAAGAGAGCGGCGTGGCAAGCAAAAACAGCGGACGATGGGAAATGAAGATTGGGGAAGAGCGGTGAGAACGGAAAGGTTTCCTGGAATCTAATCACTAAGGTTTGTTCCTTCAGTAATTTAACCAGCAACGCTGTAAATACCGACATTACCATGAATGGCACCCGGAAATTCAGGTGAAAGGTAACGTTAAAGAACAACCGACGACTGATGTCAAAGGGTAATTTGGATTAGTGGTATTTAATCACCGACTTATAGTTAACTTTATATGTCGCTTAAACACTTGAAATGGATACGCCTCTCTCTCTTCCCTTTTTTTCTATCTCTCTGATTCAAATCTAATCTTTATTAGTTTTATTCCACTCTTAAAAATTTAAGGTATAATTTGGCAAAAAGTTAAGATTTCTAACTTGTTGCTGCTTGATTTGCAAACTTTATAAGTAATCCTTTCTTTTTTAATTTAGATGCAAATTTTGAACTGCGGGCAGGCAAAGATTGCTTGCTATGATTAAAGAGGTATCAGTAATAAATTGTAATAAATTGATACACTAGAATTACTTGAAGCGTAGATGGTCTATTATATACTCATTTTGTCATCTTATTGCAATGCGGAATTGAAATCGTCGGGTCGGATTCAAGTGTGGGATGATATATGTCCCAAGAGATTAAATCATGTCAAGAAAATACAGTGTTGATTTTTATTCAGTTAATTAAACAATATAATTTGGCAACTTCTCTGGGGATCTTAGCCTTACCTCTTGTGCTATCTACCTTTCTATTAGCGGCAGATGCGCAATTTTGATGATTTTGCCGAAGATGTTGGGATTAATTACAGTAGTTACAAACTTCGAAAAGAATCTACTGTTGTAGTAATACATTCATCCTCCTAAATTTCATAAAATATATAGATCTCATTATGCATGATAACTTATTATCTCAGCCACCCACGACACAAAGCTGGCGTTCTATTAGCGGTAGATGCTCAGTTTTGACGATTTTGCTGAAAATGAACAAAACCTAATTTTTAATCAAAACAACATATTTCTTTTTATCGTGGACAGTAAATTTTAAGCCTTTCCGGATATTCATGTGAATCCTCAAGTGATTGGCTTTGTTGAGCTGTAATAGGAGGGTCGGTCAGCAACAAGTTTTTGTGTTGAATAAACCTGACGCCGTCAGTTGGATGAAAACCCGAAACTAGAAACTTCAATAAACCTGATACCACTGCAATCAACTATACCTGAAACTAAGGACTTCTCTGACTTCGTCCTTATCTTTATTTGAGGTTATGCTGGATAAATGAAATAAGAAGAAACGGAAAAACAAAATGAGAAATGTTATACTGTATGATTTTTAGAAAAAGATGAACTGGAAGGAGTTTTTTCTGGATTTTTAAAAGCCTAAATAAGCCTTACTCTTCCCTTTTTCCATTTGTTTCAACAAATCGAACTTTCCTCCCTTGCCTTGTTTGCGATTTTTAATTACCTTCCACTTCAATTACTTGAGTTTCTTTCAGCTGCTGTTCTCAATTCTCCTCACTAAACCATTCTACATAAAAGTGGATTTGGTCCCCTTCTGAGGTGTTGAACAGCCTGTTTTAAGCTCCGTTACATTACACTTTACAAAAACTGGAAATTTTTTCATCTATGTTCAAGCAACAGGAAGGCCATAATCATTATTAAACTTTAACTGGAACAAGTCAAGTTGTCGGTAGCTTCGTTTTTCTTCCCCTAGTCAGCGGTTACGGGTTGGGTAAATAATGATTGATTGTCAAGAGTTTATTTTTTTAGAATGGTAAACCAATGAATTTCGCGCAGCATTTCGGCGACCTAGAAATACTTCTAGAAGAATTTTGTTGTTTTTATTGGAAAATTATCGAAATAAGTCTTGTGATTTGAAGGAATTTTATCTTTATTGGAAAATTTCTGAAATTAATATAACCAAATGACTATTGCTTCCTACAGTTATTATTGTAAATATTTCACAGCAATGTTCATGATGACCCTAGGTCCTCTTTGTTGATGGCGCATCAGTTACATTAAGTCAAGCTTTAAAACGTCTTCATGCCAAGGAAATTCTGACACAAATAGATCCTAAATGTTGTATTTGATTTCGAAGGACCGTACTTTCTGATGGTCATTTGAATTTGCTATTTCTCCATAATTCTAATCCAAACTATATTTACTTCAGGCCCTTATTGGACATTTTGAAAGTATTTAAGTTTAAAGCAAGAAATAACTTCATATGAGTACAATTCTTTTCCTAATTTTCAGCATTTTTTCTGTTGAAAAGTCATTCCGACAAACTTTCTGGTCGAAACGGATTACATACTTTGAATCCACCAAAATTTCTTGTTGTGCCTGAATCTAACAACAAAAATGCATCCTCCTTTTGCCTTCACATACTACGAAGCTGATTCATTCATTACTTGAAAAAGTTCGATAATCTCTGGAAATCCGTTTGTTGAGTTTCCGGACGGAATTTTAAAACACATATAAAGAAAACTCGAAAATATCAATGTCTTCATTTGTACACCATTGCCCTGGCAGATGGTGCTGTGGGATTTCTTCAAGACAATATTTTTTCCTGATGGCTTTACAGAGCTTCATATGATCTTCGACCAGTAGTTGTTTTCAAGTTATCTTTGTCCATTTATGGAGTTTCGATAAGGTCCCATTTTCAGCTCTAAAACAATATTTGCTGAATACGAAGATTTCTCGAACCGTTTCTAATGGTATCGCTACTGCAATTACATTGCCATTTTTATTGACTACTACATATTTTGACATACGGAAACTGATTTAGAAATTTCACCTTTTCTTAAGAATATCAAAAAGAGCTTATAGGAACTGGCTCAAATTACCGTGTCTACCAAGACGAAAAGTACTGCCATGTCGAATGCTGAAATATTCCATTATCTTTAATACACACTGCATTTGTTTCACTACTCAAATGAAAGAAAAGAAAAAAACACTGGAGATTGTCGTCATTTAATCATTAATTTTCGATCCGGTCACTTTCGATTTGCCTTTTAATTATCAGCCTGTTATTTTCCAGTTCACCAAAAATCCTCTTTAATTGGTTGAGAAAGAAATTCAGACACGCAAAACACATACTACACCCGAAATATCGTTCGCAGTACCAAACTGGCACTCTATCAGCTCACACTACCTGCATTTCATTAAAATTACTGAAATGAATTTTTCGTGCACTGATTCTCCATTATCACTCTTATCATTGTTTTACTTTAATGAAGTGTTTTTGAATATTTCAGTAGTTTTTGAATGTTCTCAGGTGCAATGTGTCGCAATAATACATTAACAAGGTGTTGCATCACATATATTACAAGGCCAGAGACATTGTGTCAATTATACATCTCTTTTTTCCCGAGATTTTTAGAGATAATTCATCTTTGATTAGTTGCATAAGATTTTTCCCAACACTTGAAGTTTAATGCAACGGTTTCCTACAACGACTAGTGAGTTTAGCACGATCCAAGCAATAACTCAAAAACTTTAACCTTTAATATTGATAAGAAGGACTATAAATGTTACGAGGAATAATTATATGAGAAAGATAATGTTACGTTATTTATCGTTGTTGAAATTGCGAATAGCACAAAAAAAAAAGCACTTCCATAACTTGAAGGATGTAATTTTTAAAAGTGGAGGAGAAGAATTATTTTAACAATGTATGGAGTGGTGTGGTTTCAACAGTTAGCGCAAGCAGGTCAAGGGTTTGTTACTCAAAAACTGATTCAAAAAACGTTTGCTACTTCTCTGATAAGAGAAATATTTGAACATTTAATGTTTCATTCATACATACATATCCATGAATTAATTCTATATTTCGAATGGGGACGATATCATTGATCTCTGCAAACTGTTCTCAGAAGAAAGGTTTGTTTTATCCTCATTTACCCAATCCAACTAGTTGATAGATGATCTTTATCACTTCTATTCTTCCCTTCCTCCTTTTTATTCCACTTTTAATCGGACCCTTTATCTCATCCTTGCCGTCCCTCTCTCTGTTAACAAACATTTTTTTTTACGACAGTGCATTACTTGGATACTACTTGTTATGATTTCGTCTTCATAGATGAGTCGCTGAAATAATTTAATCCTGATTATCTAGTTATCCAGCAATATATTTTTATTTTCTACTTAAACTCATTCATTTCTTACTAACCTATCTTCAGCGATAAATAGCGTGTAGCAGATTTGTCAACTATCCGACGTTTCAAGCAACTGTTAATAAGAAATAGCATGTTAATATTTCTTCTGGCCTTTCCTTTCTTTGGTCTAGAATGAATTCCTGGCTAATTAATCACCATTCGATTACATTACCCAGCTCGTCATGCCTTTCATTATGACTATCGTTCCCAATAGACAAGAAAAGTTGAGATCATCTTTATCTATCCATCAAATTCAATCCCTTTCTCTTCCATTCCTCACTTTTATTGTAGAATACTTTTCATCCACTGTTATCCTAACCTCAGAAAGACTGATCAGTGGAAGACCTGCCACTGATCAGGAAAGAATGCCACTGTGTGTTCCCTTCTCACTTAACTCGTGGGAAATCTTCAAATGTGTCCCATTTTATAGTGATGTAGACGAAAGAAGATAACCTTTTCTCAAGGTTCCGATGTGTCGGAACTGTATGAGTGAATGCAGGGCTACATGTTTTGATTAATATCTTCTTCAAAATTCTCCCATCTTCTCTTGTAAAGAGAAATTGATCGGATAGAGTGCCTTTTCAATAGGTATGTTGTACTCAATTCCACTGTTAAAATTACAATTGGGGATTTTATTATAGGAACGTTTATTTTAAAATTTGCAGAAATGCAAGAAAAATTCTGTATGGAAATTTTGCATATCAGCCAACATAACTTCACGATTTCAGTAATTCATATTCATGCATAACCGTTCTTTGCTCTTTGGTCTTCAAATATGATAACTTCTTTTTTGTTCCTCAAATACTTATGCGTTGCATCCAGCTAACTATTCCAACTAAAAACTCGCTAGATGATATTTGTTCAGTTGAAAGTTAAATTAACAGGTTTTAATTGGTTAGAATTTCGAGAATGCACAAATTTGGCATTTATTTATACGGGATAATGTGCTCATTACAACATATGAAAAGAAAATGAAATTGAAACTGCAAATGTTTCATGTCCTCGAATCACTTTCAATCTCGATAAATTTTCTTGTTCTCAATACACGGAGAAGGAGAAATATGAGAAATCATTGTGGTTTTCATTGTAACTCGATTTAACATGATTAAAAAATTTGGCTTAGCTCGACACAGTTTCGATTGACACCCCATACGAAACTTGTAGTTGAAAATATTGAGATTACCATAATTCCTCCTTGTTACTTCTTCATTGCTTCAAAATCTGTACCGAACTCAATAAAAATAAGTTAACTTTCTCTAAATCATAATTTACTATTAATCTAGTCATATGCTGAAATCGGACATTCAGTATCATGTGCAAGCAACGTGAAATCCGTGATAAGTTCATGATTGCAAAATGCTTTTATGAGGTCAAACTAAGTAAGAACATTGTCATTCTTCCATATTCTATCGATGCTTTATCTGCTGAAACTTAATTATTTGACAACGTTTGCTGCTGAAATTTGTTACAATTAACACGTTGTTTCTTTAATTGTTTAATTTGTTGTTGACATTTGTAACTTCTTTGCAACTCGTTCATTACTTGAGGGAAATGAATTAATAGCATAACTAAGGCAGGGTCTACAAGAAGCTTCCGTCGCTTTGTCGCGTTATCATACGGGTAACTCAAGAGACTACATCACAGTTGGGCGAAAGCAACATATCATCGTTTTTATTTTCACCATATCCTCATTATTCAATTGTTATACGCGTGTCCCAAATTTAATTCTTCATCCAAATCATCATCTTATCATGCTTGTATTGCTTGCTTTACAGAAATGCGATGGTGTTAAGGAGCACTGGAATATTATTTTCACGAAATTTGCTTTATATTGTGATCGGCATTGTCATTGTAGGTTGTTTTAATTAATCCATTAAATTGTTTAGTTATATGAAGTTAGTTGTCGTAGTTTACGGTATTAAAAATGTATGTTTTTTCATGTGGGTTGAGTTATATTAAATGTTTACAGAGTTCGGTACGTAACGTAAAGACTATACCGATTGATAATTCTCTCGTAGATGCTGAAGTAATAAAAGGTGAGAACTTGTAGTAATGTTTATTTCATATGTTAACTATGGATTTGAATTCATATGCAGACAGTAGCTAAGATTCGGCAATCAAATCAATAACAGCTGTCATGATTACCGCTTATCAGAGTCATCACTGTTAGTGATAATATGTGCCATCGTGATTTTCGAATTTTCGTCAAATTTCCTGACAAACATCGTTGGCATCTATTTTCAAAAGCCTCAAATCAGTTAAAAAGAAAGAAATAGTTCTTTTTATCCTTCATATTCATTCAACTGCTTATTCGTCCACGCGTTTGAACCGAATTTAATCACGTTACAATTGAACAGATTGCGTGACAAATAAAAGCGTTGATTTGGTGTTAGTGTTGGATGGTTCTGGTTCAATTGGTGATGAAACTTTCCAATTGCTGGTGAGTTTTAGAAATCCATCTCGAATGATCTAATCAAAATTTTCAATTCATCCATCCAATATTACAAATTTCTAATTCAATTCAAAATTCTTAAAACCAAAATTTAAATGATATTCACTCTATCAGTAAAGTGTTAGAGAAGAGAAATGCTTACAAACGATTATGCTTATTACCTTTACTTCTATTACCTGTACTTAATTGATAAACATTTATTTATTTATTTTTTTGATCAGAATAATTCATCGGATAAAATGAAACTAAGAGCCAGTTAATTGCTACCGACTAGATTATTACTTCTAGTTATTCGAAATAAGACATATGTTTCTTTATTTATCCTATTAATTATAGCTCGATTTCGCGGTGCATATTTTACGACGAATAAATATCACGGCGGAAGGTAGTCGAATGGGTATCATTCAGTATGCCGAGAACCCTCAACTTGAAATTACGCTAAATCAGTACACTCATTCCAATCAGGTTTTCCCATCTTCTTTTTCGCTCGTTTCTTATCTCAGAAGACTTTCGACACACTTCGGTATAATTGTCTCACTTTATTTCAGCTGATGGATTTAACATTAGATTAGCGTTGACAGCTATCATCATGAGTCATTCCGGTCATGGAACTCTGTCAATAACACTTGAGTAATTAATATCCAATAAGTACCGAACAGTTCTCTCAATGATTCTGAGAATTGATTTAATTCAGTTTAAAATTTGATTTAGACAACCTAGCTAATGATTGTAATTTCTCGAGAACTGTCCGTAAAACTTTCATATCACTGGAAGTATGCATCATATTACGACTATCTGACATGTTTATTTATAAGTATTATATGGCCTGAGATATGATGCAGAAATGGAAACTTATCGATCAACAGATAGAGTTCTTGCTTGAAAAAGCGCCAATCTTGGTGAAACAGGCTGAGTAGTGTTATTCGTTCAAATTGATTCAAATACAGTCGAAGAAATTACTAAAAAATCTGGTCAGAGTGATAGTTCTTTTTAATTTATCAACGTAAGCAGAGTAATATAGTTGGATCACAACTTATTTTGGATTTTGGTAAGGCAGAGAACTAAGAAGGCTGTTCTGAGCGATTTTGCAAATTTCATAATTCGGTTCAAAGACAGCAGAAAAATGTCCCACATTTTGGAAAATTTTTTGTTGGCATCTCTTCATAAATTTTACACATTTTGTGCTAATGATAAGAAAGACATCACTTTCAGACCAATCTATGAAACATTCTAATTCTAAATTTTAAATAGTCTCATTGCATTTCTCAAGAATTGATGATATATGTAGCTCATATCTGTTCGAAACGTTGAAATTGAAATGAACTGGTAATGATTTTATCTTTTTAGGGTCTTGACCTAATTTCTTTCCTTCTTCCTCTCCACTTAACTATTGGAAATGGTTAAATCGTCAGAAAAAGAAATTCCGCACAAGTATGAGAAATTGAATTATGTAATTAAATTGCATTATTTATTGAACCTCTTTGGGAATTTTTTCTTTTAGTTACCGTTTTCGCTGGCATGCTGCAAAAGATTATGACTACAATATCCTTTGATATTTACTGGTTATCTTTGATAAACACAAGAAATATCCAACTGATACTCACATAAGAAAATATTAGCTCCTTAACTGACCATTTTGCAGAAACTTTGTTTTTTTCCTGTTTCACTGATTCTGATTCAATTATTTAATCAGATTATCTCAACAATGGTTATACACGGCTCACATTTTGTTTGGAATAACGAAGAAAAACTTTCAGTTTACAGTCCAATCTTAATTTTCCAGCTGAGATTACACACATCTATTTTCTTGACAGCCACATTTTTCTGGTGTGTGAAGAAATTTCAATTTTTGTATGAGTGATAAGTGCCTGGTAAATTGATTAGTTGAAGGATAGCTAATAGAAATGGTAAAATAATCGAATGCTTTTTAAATTTCTGAGTTAGAGAAGAACTGTCATCGTTACATTCTCACTGCTCTTCCCTCATCAGCCAATGCAGCAATTTTGTCGATTTTAGGACAGGAAAACATTACAAATCTGTCGAAATCAAATGCGATTGTTTTTTTTTCTTTTTTCTAAACACAGAATCATTATGAAACAATTAAGTTGTTATCTGAAATATGGTGAAGATTATCAAAGGTCCAATCATCACAGTCTCATTCATTTAATTCAGTTAACTGCCAATAGTATCACAGCAGTAATATAATTGTAGTGTCAGCTTCCCAATGATAACAACTACCCATCGTTCGGATTAGAAGTGATTTGAGTAGCTTTTATTGGTTTACTTGATATATTTCCTAGATTTATTTCTTTTTACTTCCACGATTAATGAACAGGATAATAAGATATTATTGGGTAGGGCTTCCTGATTAGGGGCGTTTTTGAAATTATACAATATCATTTTGAGCACGTCCAAATCCTCCCTAAAAAAGCCATGTAAAATTAGCTTAAAAATTCTTCGTTTTTCAAAATACGCTGTTTAGATGGAATGGGCGATTCAACGCATTAAATACCTATCAGGCGCAACAAATACAGGGGCTGCGCTTAAATTTGCTTTGGAACGAGGTTTTCAGGTATCGAAATCTTTTGAAAATAGTCTAAAATTCAGAATTTTTGGTGATCACCATATAATAATAATTAGTTTTTATTAATAATCACTGTATAACTATGGAAACTGTTAATTAAGAATTTCGAGTACAGAGATGTCGCAGTGAATCACTCTTTTGATTAATTATTAACAGAATCATTTGACTTCTGATGCTATGATATTTTTGAGGATGCACGAGGAGGCGGTATTCCAAAGGTAGCAATAGTGGTAACCGATGGTCAATCTCAGGACAGCGTTGCTGAAAGTGCACAGCAATTGAGAGATGCACATATAATGTTGTATGCGGTCGGTGTTACGAATTTGGTTAATGTACATCAGTTACATCAGGTAATTACTGCTATCTCATTAGTGATTGTACGTATTTCATTCTCGAAGAAAATTCACTCTGTCCTCATTTTGCGCACCATTCTAGTTAGTTTATTATTAAACATAAAGTCGGATGTGAAGATTTATTTAATTTGAGATTGCAGATAGCTGGAAATCCAGCACGAGTACTTACAGTTGAATCATTCGACGAGTTGAGCAGAACTCTTGCAGATTCACTCACTTGGGATATGTGTAAAACTGAATTTAGTACGTTTGTAATTTCCCTCGAAATTTTGAATTGCTTTAAAATATAAAAAATTAGCTTCATTTTCGGCTTTTTAATTCACTGACTAATTCTCAACAGTCATTTTTATATATTAACTACAATTAAGCATTCTGCTTCATTCTAAGTAGTGAAACTAATAGTAATTTCTGAAAATGTTTATCATATCGCAATCATTTATCATGCCTTGTTCTGTTAATCAGTGCCTAGTATACCTGATATAATCTATTTGTCAGTAGTTAGGATCCGGATAATATAATCATTCCTTCGGTATCCAATATATTTGGATAAAATCTCATAATTGCACCTAACCTACGGTATGTTTATGAGAACTAACGCATTGGCCTAAATTAGCACCGTAAACAGGACCCGGCACACCTGATATAATCTGCGGTCCGGATCGAATTGGTGTGCGGGCATCAACAAAGAATCCATTTGACGGATACGTCTTCATTATGGATCATTTTCATAAAAAGGAATGTCGAGCAGGTCCAGAAGAATTTCCAGATGCTCGAAGTATCGGTATTACTATTCCGTTCACCGAATGCAACATACATCGATATCGTTCAGTAAGCAAATTTTTTCTGCAATTTTCTAATAACATAGGACTTAACCGTTGTTATTTTTACATATTTTTTTCAGGAAAGTATGGAAATACTTCCTGGTTTGCTGATTTTTATGCGTTTCTTTCATAATTGTTATCGTTTCATTATATTTTTCAAAAATGCTTCATCCTTCCTGATTTCGTTTACTCGCTCTTTCACTCGCTTTACTAGTTTTTTGTATTTTCAGTTGAGCCCACGGGGTATCTTCGTTGAAATGACAGTTATCTTTATGTTTCATGCACTGTAAGTAATTTTGATAATTGCTGCATCTTATAATAGAAATAGCAGGGACTTGCTGATCTTTCACAGTTGGATACGCAATTTTTTTTTCCAAAACTCACAAATTCTTTGTGATATTTTTCAAATTCAGAAAAGGCCATATTATAGATTTATGACCAAAGTTGATCAGATGGTGAAAGTGCAGTGTTTTTATATGGAAGCTGATAAGTCTGTTTCAGTACCAATGGAGGTCAGGTAAGTACTACCAACGTTAAAACATCCTTATAGTCGTAACCAATAACTCCCGTCAATTAACACTGTGATGAGAACGTGATGCAGTAAATGTTGTCTTCTATATTTATAACAGAAATCAAGTTTCCTTTAGAAGAGGTTTAAATACGTGAAAATAACTTCCGTGGGAATATGCCTATTCATGTATCATGTGAGACAGTAGCAGTAGGTCTTTTAACAATACAAACAACTGCGCATTCCTCGAAATGGCAGAAATGTGAAGGGGAAATGGGTAACTTGCAATTTTGAATATATTTTGACAACTTTTAGCATGATCACAACGCAGTTTCGTGAAAAGATGTACGAGATGCCGCGATGCGAATATACTCTAAGGCGTGGATCACAGGATGGACCAATCGTACAGTATGCACAACTTGGTGAGAGTATCTATCATCGCTGGGAATGCCACGATCAGGCTGATACATTTGGGATGCTTGTGCATTCATGCTACGTTGACAACGGTTTTGGTGATCGAGTTGATATTCTGGATGATACAGGGTGTGTTTATTTTTTGTTAGCATGTTGACACGATTTCAAATGAAGAGCTAGGAAAACAAACTACAGACAAGTCCATATGTTAATGAAAAAATATGGAGTGGGTGAGTGGGCAGATAATATCAAAAGAAAGAACAGAAAAAGAAGCAGTAGAAAAAGTAAATGAAGTTGTAATAAATGTGACAGTGAACTGATAAGTATTTCAGTGATTTGTCATGTTGTTATCAGTTTCAAGCTTCCATTAAACATAATTGAAATTTTGAAGTTTTGTTATAGATGTGGAATCGACACTGTTTTACTGATGACCCCAGACTATGACGAAACACTGAGACTGGCAACGAAGCCGTATCATGTTTTCAAATATGCTGATAGGCCTGTACTGCAGTTTCAGTGTCAGGCATGTTTGTCAGAAGATTGAAGTGCTGAGGAGGAAAGAGGATTTATTTAACTATTATAAAAATGTAGCAACTTGAAGGCCGACACAATCCTTCCTCAACTTTAGTGTTTCTTTCCATTTTTTGGATTAAGCTCTTCATGCCTTAAACCATACACTGACCAAAGTTACTTAAAATCGATGATAACTGCTGTATTTAATTAATAATTTCTTCTAAATTTCAGATAACTTTGTGCCTCAAATTAGACGCAGGCTGCATTGGATTAACACCGCCGAATTGTCCGGAACTAGCCCACAACCACATGCACAGTCATGATCATGTGCATGAGCAGAACGAAATACGTCGTGCTCGATCCATCCTGGAATCTAATACTCTGGATATATTCACACCACAATTACACATTGTCGACAATTTACCGCAGTGTCCTAATCATAGTATCCAGTTCCCTTCCCTCTATATTGTAGTAGTTGTTATTAGTGTGATGCTAAACATCCTTTTGTCCATCATTATAGCAATGCGATTTTTAAAATCCAAAAAGAATGGTTAAATGTGATAGAAGAGATGAAATCCTTACGATAAAGTTCGAGAAATGCTGGAATGAAAATAACGGTACTGACTGAAGAAAAAGACTAAGATATTGAACTAGAATGAAACAGCTAATCTGATCAAGAGCATTATAGCCAATGGCTATACTTTATATTTGTGAGGATTTCCAATTCATTCAAAATTCTGGAGTTAAAACAAAAAAAAATTGAAAATATTCAAATAACAAATTTTCTCCTTTGTTTTCCCTCTCTCAACCGGTCACATTACAAGGCATTACAAGGCCTCGATAGTTTGGTCAACCACTTTCATCACTGCTGGTGTATGCTAAAGTGAGACGGGTGTCCTATTTTCTTCATTGTATCTTTTATTTGTATGTACGTGTGTCTCTGTGTCTCAGTATAGTATGTGTGTGTATACAGAGTGATAAGGTGATATTTATATCATTTATCAAGTGGCGAAAAAACAAAAGCTAATCGGAATCAATTTCCATCCACAGCTTTATTTTTAACGTTCCTTTTTGCGCAAATTGTTAGTTCTTTTTTCAGTATTTCCTAAGCATAGAATGTTCAGTTCTAGCATAATTTAATTTGTCTTGCTTTTTTCGTATTGTAGTTCTTTGCATAAATGTAAGCCATATCATGAATACAAAATGCCAACTTCATTCTTAAATTCAGAAAAGTTGAAATATATAATTGTATTGTATCGTATTGCATCTACCTTTGCTTTTTCCATCCAAGACTTCTCAAAATCAACATATAAATGCTCTTAATCTTTAGAGGACTTTCGCCACAAAACATTTTGATCGGAAAATTCTATTGGAATTTGTTTAGAATTTATGGTTTCGAACATAAAAATATGTTATATTCAAGTTGATAAAACAGTTAAATGCGTACAACTTGAAATTTAAGGAGGTAATAATTTATTAATAACAAGCACTTATTTGACATATGTACGAAAGCTATTGGTATTCTTATAAACGAAATTTCTTCAACAAGTTATTTAAAAAAGAAAGACGAAGTTTAAAGTGAAGAAAAGAAATCGCAAAAGTAAACAATGTTGAATGCAGTGACATGCATTATTATTAACAAGGATTTTCCTCGGATTTTTGATCCTATCTTACTTACTCAACATATACGACGCAGAGGTAAGTTTAAATTTAAATTCAAGCAAGGCAAATGTCTCATGGTATACACCAATTTATTTGATAAAAATAAGTGGGACTCTTGCGGCATCTATAGCATGGATCTTTGAAATAAATGAGAAAAGGTGTTCAATATGCGTATAGCTGAATGAAGCAAAAACTCTAAGGAGAAAAAATGTAGCGCCAGTTTTCTAATTACGCGTTAATAGGGTCAGGAATCCAGCACGATCCCCAACTGTTAAACAGAATTTAATGTCGGAATAAAAGATAGCATTAACTTAAAAAGGTATTCAACAAAAGGAAAGAATTGAGACGAATCCTGGAAGAAGTAAATTAAAATGACAAATATTAAAGAATTTTAAGGTGTGAGCCTTCAACGAATGAAAGTGAAACTTGGAGCCAAACTAGAAGGAAATTTGACTACGGGATTGAACGGTCTGATATAACTTACAATTATATTACTCCTAACGCAATCAACATCAGCTTATCTTCATCAGCAATAAAATCGTTCAAATTCTTTTATGGAATCACATTCCTCCTCCTCAGATCCGTTTTTGCATCTTCGATTTCCTTTTTTAGCTCTTCTTCGGCATCAGGACAATCGTTGAATGTTGCAACACCATACACCACGTTACAAGTAGCATAAATTCCAAGTAAAAAAATGGCGTAAATAGGAAGATAAAGAATAAATCCGTAATACTTCCTCGTAAAATTATGTGTGTATGGCAGCCAGTCGTATAGTAAAGCAACCCAAATAGCAATCAGTGGACTAACATGTAAGGAGTAGATAACAAGTTGCGATACCATTATCTAAATATGATAAAAGTTAATAAAGGTTAATATATTTCCAGATTTAAATCTGATAGGTTTAAATTTGATAAGCGTGTTATGTGTCATGTAATCGGTAGAACTGCATGGCAGATATGATCACCATATATTTAAATAATGCAGGATGCAGTTACAGACCAAATATACAACCCCAGTTTTAACTTTAACTTTTTTCCCTACAGAATGCAAACTCTGCTAGGTGACAATATCTGCAATTCAACCTGCGGATAATTAGTCCAATATTACAAATCTAGAAGAAATTTCAAGCCTAAGTCTTACTTTGATCAACTTCAGCAATAAAAAATCATAAACTGCAAATCGTTGTGAAGGAAAATATTTTACCGAGTTCGCGATATATACTCTCACAAAACTGAAACAAAGGTAAAAGCCTGAATCCACAATAGATTGTAAGTAATGCGACAAGCACTAATCCGCTTGCTCCAGCACTATTAAGTCCCAGCTAAATTTTGTATCTTTCAAAAAGTTCACCACCATGACCTCGTCTCATAATTTTACCATTTACAATGAGTGGTGAATTAAAAACGTAAGAAAACGTGCGGAACGCTGACGCATCACGACTGTGTCTGTAGACTTTTGATCTAAATTATTGCCCAATAAGAATCAGTATTTGACTAGTTAAGACTGCACTCTCGTATCTTTCTCTAATTGATAGGAAAATCAAATCAAAAAAATTTCTTAAAACGTTAGTAAACCAAATATTTGTTTGAGAAAAATATTTGACGAAAAATCGCAAAGTGTTCAGTCTCTTCATTTTATGAATAATATTTTATTTGGCAAGCAATCATTCATACAAATACAGCTGATTACATACCAATTATTCGTTTTAATAAGAGAAAATTAAAGGTTTCGAGACATTGAAAACACACTCAAAGTGATTAATATATACAAACGAAGAGTAGCGCCATTTCCTTCTTTCAAATGACTTTTTATAATATAAAATTTCAAAATTTGGATATACAATTCTGCAAGAAATACAGTAACCGAAGAACAATACCCAAAACGTATAACACCTGCCAGCATGATGAGGTCAAAGACAAAAATCAACATTTATCATCTCTCACCAATAAAATCGAATCAAGAAGACGATTTTCGACTTTTCGCACTTTTGTTTACAAATGAAATAGTCACCATTCCAACAAAATTTTGATATTCCCTGCTGATCGTATTCATTAAAATTCATTTAAAATTCATATTTCATTGCGTCATTCATTCCTCGAGGGATGATTTTAAATTTATTTAAAAATTTAAAATTTAAAAATTTATTTAAGATAAAAGCACATACGATGACAGACATGACAGCTAATTTTGCTTCAGGTTGGAAAACTACATCCATAAGAAATCTGAATAGGAAAAAGGAAATTTATTGCACCCCTCTCCTCTCCCCTCCCCCCCCCCCCTCATCAGCATATTAAATATGTTGAAGTCAGTACATACGAGAAAATGGAGACGGAAACTTACAATTTACAGTTCAAAGAGATTTTTTTTAAAATGTATTTTCGAATTAGAACACTACCAAATGCATCAAATCCAGGAAAAAAAATCCCAGAAAAAATTATTTAATTTCAAAAGTTATTAAAAACTGAAGTATAACCCTCTTTGTTTCACTTCAACTTTCTCGCCCAACGACCGTGAAATTTTGTGGGACGGGCTGACTTATAAAATCCATGTAAATCATAATAAAGCCATTTAAATATATAAATCCATCTTTCTGATACCTTAAAATCTTGAAAGTGAGAAATGAATACAGCTGTTGCGGTAATAACGGTTTGCGCAACAACTAAAATACGCATAAATTGCACAAAAAGTTTCGACTTATAAAAATACAGCATGTTACTTGAAACGAGGATCATAAATTCTCAGTGAAAAAAGACAAATGATGATCCATAAATATAGCTGTAAACTAAAGGTAATGACAGAATTTTTTTTGCGAATTTTTGTACTGTAAACAAATCACAGCTACTCGTACCGATGCAGTGCCGTCCTTCAAAATTAGACGCTTCCGAAATGTAAATGCAAATTATGATGACAACATGCTCGGTGGCGGTGTACACTTTGAGCGTTCCCTAAAGCATCCATTATTTCCAGCCTGTTTTGCCTTTTTTATAATTTTTAATCATCAAATTTAAGAACATGTTAATAGTTTGAAGTGAGTCAGAACAAAGATTTGGAACAAAAAAGGCTTAGAATAGAAACAGGATGCTAAGAAATTTCTTCCACCCCATGACCTTTTAAAAATTTGAACCTTCTGCGACTAACAACAGTCATCTAGCAGTCAATTTAGATAGTTAAGAGTAATTAAAAATAAAAACGGATGGATTTACACAGATTTATTTTTATGAATAATGAATTGGTAGTAATTTCGTCTTTATACTGTCTGAAATATCTCAAGCATTAATAAAACATAGCAAAGAAATGAAGAATAATAATACATAACTAAAGACTTTTTAAATCTGAACTAACCATTCGGCGATATTTCTCAATACGATGTTGGCCAAACTGCGCATTTTGTCTGAAGACCGTTCGTCACCTGCGACTTGCTGTAGTAGAGGGATGCCGCCCTCGTGAAGAACATAGGCACAATATTTATCTCCTGCAAAAACATCCTAGTTTTGTAAAATTGCTGATTTGATGGGATAACATGAAAATATCGCAAGGGAACAAATTAACAAAGAAATACAAAAACAGAAAAGCATTCATACATTTATGACTGGACGGTATTGCAGTATGATAAGAGCAGAGTGATGACAAATAATCACGTGCTTTTTGGATGGAACTTAAACTTAATCTCTTCTTCAGTAATAGAGGTTTATCTCTGCTACATGAAACCTTAACTATGAATATTAAAAACAACCGATCGTAAGGTAAAACTTACTATCTGTAGATGTTAAATTGGCAAGTGCCCAAATTGCCCAATGTTGGCTTGCTGGAGCATCGAACATTGGTATGAGCCTCAAAATCGGCTTGAATGACCGATAATTTATGAATCGCTTTGCTTCTAAATCCCAAGTATTGGTAGCCTAAAAAGCATTCATTTGTAACGAATACATTAGAATTTTCTATTGTTTGAACTACTTTAAGAGTCACTGCAATGTTAAGCAATCACAGAAACTGTGCGTTTAAAAGACAATGTTTTATACATGAAATACAAATTACTTCCTAACTGATTTCAGGACATCAGCTCGTTTAAATCAAAGTGGTCGTAAGCAGCAATCTACCTCAACTTTCATGAAGAAAAAATGGGTAATTTACCTTGATAATTTTATCCATAACAAATGCACGTGATACACTCACTTTTGACCATGCTGCTTCCCCATCACTAACCATATGTGCAAGTACTCCAGCGCTGTTGTAACTAATCTCAATGCCATCAACTAACATTGTCAATAAAGCACTGAAGATGATGAATCTGAGATAGAATTGCATTACCTTAACAACGCATACACTACTAAACATCTTCCAGTTAAGATATATGGGTGGGAAATATTGATATGATACAGATTTATTATGTAATTCACGATTAATACAGTCAAACATTTCTATTCTTACCAGAAAATATTGATATAATCATCAAGCATGAGCTGTGCACGGAGTTGCTCTACTTCGGCAATATTCCCGATCAAACCCATCATGTTACGAACAAGTTCTGTTTCATTTTGAAACTGCTGATAACACTGATGAAATAAACGAAGGCCATCAGCATTGAGGAAGCGCTCGCAGTTGACAGGTGTTTCGTCTGTGAAATAATTTAACCAGCAATTAAAGTTCGTTATATTTTAACTCAGGGATAGTAATAACTTAAGCAAACAAACCGCAGAGTTGTAGTATATATATATATATATATATATATATATATATATATATATATATATATATATATATATATATATATATATATACTATT